TGATGTTCCCTCAGGCAAGTGGCTCAGGAGACCCACCCACCGACCGTGTTGGTTCACTAAGGACTGAAGGATTTCCCAGGATGCAGGGCTTTTACAGCTAAAACTGAGAAAGTCCCAGGCAATTGAGGACAAATTGGGCACCTAACAGATGACCGGAGTGGTGTCTTTGAGTTGGGGAGAGGGATTCCACAAGGCCTCTGCTGAGCCAGGTGCCAAGGGGGAGCCCTTCACTCACCTGCACCCCCCAGCCTGGCAGCAAAGCCTGGAAACAGGAAATAGCATTGTGTTTGGGATGGGACAGCAGCTACTGGTGGGGAGAAAGCAGATCTCGGGTCCATCTGTCCATCTATCCCTCCATCCATCCACTGATCCATCCATCAACTATCCATTCACCCACCTATCCATCCACCTATCCATCCATCTGCTCACCCACCTGTCTACCCACCCATCCACCCACCAAGCCATCCACTCACTATCCATCCATACATACATCCACCTCTCCTTCCATCCATACATCAACTCATCAGTCAACCCACCCTTCCATTCGTCTGTCCATCCCATCCACTCATCTGTCAGTCCATCTGTCCATCCCTCCATTCATCTATCAGCCCCTCTGCTTCCCCTGCTCTCATTTGTGCCTTGCTCTGTGCTGGGTCCTGAGGCCAGAGGAGGGAAGAAATGAAGGGTGATTCCTGTCACAGGAAGGGCATGGACTGGGGCAGTGGGGACAGCTCTGGGCTGGAGCATAGGAAGTGAGCAGTTTCCCTGGAGTGTGGGCCCCCTGTGCTGGGGCCAGGCAGAAGAAAGAAGTGGCACCCATGGTGGCAGAACTCACAGGACTGCCCCAGTGCCTGGACAGTTCTGTGAAGGAGAGCAGGGGCATACAGAAAGCCCATTATATGCCCCCCAAGTGGGAAGCCTGGGGACGTGAGATGAGGTGCCTGGGCCATGGAGCAAGCTAGGGGCAGGCCCTGGATGCCCAAAGGCCTTGTTCCACCACCTTCTCTTCCGCTCACTCCAAATATAGCAAGGAAGCAACGCACACTGGGACTCTCATGTATCCATGGACCTGCATGTACTGCAAAGCTGGCCTGTGGCCGACTCACCTTCCTGAGATCATGCCTTCCCTCCCTTCCTTTCTCCCTTCCTGCTTTCCTTTTATTTTTATTTATTTATTTTTTAAATTTTTTTTTGAAACAGAGACTCAAGCTGACCCCCTGGGTAGAGTACTGTGGCATCACAGCTCACAGCAACCTCCGACTCCTAGGCTCAAGCAAGTCTCCTGCCTTCGCCTCCCAAGTAGCTGGGACCACAGGTGCCCGCCACAACGCCTGGCTATTTTTTGGTTGCAGCCATCATTGTTGTTTGGCAGGCCAGGGCTGGATTCGAACCCGCCACCTTAGGTGTATGTGGGTGGCACCTTAGCCACTTGGGCCACAGGCACTGAGCCTCCTTTTCTTTTTATTGAGGTGAATTCACATAACATAAATTGACCACTTTATTTTTTTTTAATTATTATTTTTTTGAGTCAGTGTCATTATGTTGCCCTCAGTAGAGTCCTGTGATGTCACAGCTCACAGCAACCACAAACTCTTGGGCTTAAGTGGTTCTCTTGCCTCAGCCTCCCAGAGGAGCTGGGACTACAGGCACCTACCACAATGCCCGGCTATTTTTTTTTGTTGCAGTTGTCATTGTTGTTTAGCTGGTCTGGGCCCGGGCTTGAACCCACCAGCCTGGGTGCATGTGGCTGGTGCCACAACCACTGTGCTATGGGTGCCGAGCCTAAATTTTTAATTTTTTTGAGACAGAGTCTCACTTTGTGACCCTGGTAGATGCTGTGACATCACAGCTAACAGCAATCTCAAACTCTTGGGCTCAAGCGATTCTTTTGCCTCAGTCTCCCAAGTAGCTGGGATTACAGGTGCTTGCCACAATGCCCAACTATTGTTTAGAGACAGGGTCTCCCTCTTGCTCAGGCTGGTCTCAGACTCCTGAGCTCAGGCAATCCAACTGCCTTGGCCTCCCAGGGTGCTGAGATCACAGGTATGAGCCACTGTACCGGAACTTAAAATTAACCATTTTAAAGTGAACAATTCAGTGTCATTTAGTGCATTCATAATGTTGTGCAACCACTGCCTCTCTCTAGTTCCATAAGGTTTTTGTCACTCAAAAATAAAGCCCGTTCCCATTGGTAGTCATTCTTCACTCCCCTTCCCTGACCCTGGCAACCACAAACCCACTTTCTGTCTATGATTTGTCTGTTCTGGATGTTTCCTCTATAGGGAATCACACAAGAATGTCTTTTTTTTT